AATAGTATTTTCCAAACAAGGCATTCATGGCAGTGAGTAATGTTGTTAGCCCTTCCCTAGCTGAAACTAAGTAGAAACAATGTGACAAAGATCACATCATTAGTTTCCTGGAAACCTAGAGAGGTGTGGTGTAAGTTATACATCATGGTCTACACCTGTGTATTTGCCTCTGTGTTAAAAGCTTAAAAATCAGAGTTTGCACGAGCAGATTTGTATGCAAATGATATCCAAAAGATATTGGTAATTTCCAGGGTGAACTTTCTCATTGATTACAGGTTTAAATTGTTGTTTCAGAATGGAAATATGAATACCTTTTTTAGTATTTTTTATGTATTTTTAAATGAATTTAAACATTGAATAATATAAATATTATACCATTTATGTAAACACATTTATTAATGTAAAATTTTCCTTACTACATGTATTAATAATAATTTCTTTCATTTGATATTTGGAGCTCATGTTAATGATGCAAATGAAATTAATACGATAGATGAGAATTGTTTTTCTTGAGGTACCAATTAATAATAAAGTGAATTAATGAAAGAGAAAAAAATTAGATATCGTAATATTTTTTTTCTTTTTCCTCCTCTTGTTAGCTGTCCTTAGCTGTATTTTGCATGAGGTAGTGATAATAATAATACATTTTTATTTTACCCTTTGTACACATTCCATGGAAGCTATTCCAAATACATATATTGATTTCAGAACTTTATTTCTAACTTTCTTTGCAGAAAGAAAATAAAGAAGCATAGGGAGCAATGTAAGCAGAGAATTTTTTTAATCTATTTTTTTTTCTGTAAGATGAAAAAGACTATATGAAGTAGCAGAGGTATTTCTATTTTAAAAGTGCATTTTTTCTTCAAAGCATAGAGTATAAAAACCTACATGATGGAAAAATGGGTATGGAAGGGAAAACAAAAGTAGGCTTAAGAATGGTAACTGTTACAGCATTTACTGACTAATATTTTTTTCTATAAACGTAGAACAATAGCTTTTGAATACTAACACATCTATTTATGCATAAATTCTCCACAAGATCTCCTATTTGGATCAGAGAGTTCATGAGATAGATAAAGAGCAAAAGCAAACTAAACAACAGGTTGGAAAAAAAAAGGAAATATTACGCAGCAACAATTAAATCGCATAGAGGTGAAAAATTTAATGCTTGTATTGAAGTATGTTTAATATTGTAATGCTTCTTTGAAATATTTTTAATCTCAAAGCTTAGGGTGCCATTTCTACGCAGTTGCCTTCGAACTATACACCCACATGCACTGTACATACTATTTTCTCTCTCTTTTGCTTGAACTAACCTATGAGGTCCATAGCCTTGAGACAGCATAAAGTACAAAGCAGAATTGATATTGGGGTCATTGAGAAGTCCTTTGCTTTCTTCATTTGCTACGCGGGCTCAGATTGCTTGAGGGGCTTTAGAAATGCAAGGGAGAAAATCAATAAAGGACAAAAAAATTCCAGTGTAATAGGAAGTGCCTGCTGATTGTGTGTTTGCTCAGCAGATGGCATCTTCTTGTAAATGATAGCTCATATCTGCTGTATCAGTTACTAAACTGTATAATCCACGAAAGGGAATTACTGAATTTCATTACTGAACACTGTGTTTTGTATAAACATGCTTATAAGCATTAGAAGAAACAACCATTTTCTTCCTATGATTCCGTTCATTTTTTATTATTCTTTTACTTGCGTATTATATAAAATCGTTAGATCCTACAGGGAAGTCACATAGATTACCAAAAAAAAAAAAAAAAAACCAAAAAAAACACCACCTTTCATGTTGTTCAGAGCAGCTTTCAGAATCCTGTAATTTCTACTGAAAAACTCCAAGACTTCTTATAAATGACAGAATCTTAAATTAAGCATTGGAAAATCACTGATTCACACAGGTTCCTAAATTTGACAGTGAAGATAGAGATTATACTTCCCTGTCTGGTAAAGATTGTGCTCTACCAAATGGAAGGTTTACCAATAGATCCTAGAACAGGTGGAAATGACTGACGAGTCAGAATACAAATAATCAGTAATTTAATAATGTTTCTAAAGGCATTTATTTCCTTTTTTAAATTGTTATTTTTAATGCCACCTTTCCTAATAACTATAAATAACTGTATCCGTTGTTTACTTGAACATGATTTGAGTTGGTGTTCTGGAGTGGTGGTAGAGGACTATCCTGGTTAAGTGGACTAAATCAACGTACAAACCCTATTTGTAGGGTTCTGAACCAGTAACACTACTTGGATACCTTATATATTTCAGTCTTAGAGACTGATACATTTCCTTTATTGTAGAAATTACAGCTTTGTTAAAGGGGGGCTTTATAAAAGGGGCTATTCTTTTTTTTAAAAGTACGTAATATTTCTAGTTGTGCAGGATTATAGTGTATGATTCTGCTAATCAAGTTCTATGTTTTGTAAGAAAAAGTTACTTAAAATTATATTCAGATAAAGTAAGGCACTCCCATGATTAAAATATTGACTTGTTTAAAGCTTGTCCACCATGTATCTTAAATGATGTTATGGAAGAAATGGGTTTGATTCTATAGCATTCTTCATACAGGAGTAATATAGTCTCCAACTTTCAACTGATCAAGCAATTCACTCTATGCTGCATAATATAACTATTTGAAGACAAGGTGAATCACAGTGTGAAGGCTTCTTCGTCGTACCACTGAATTTGAAGTGACTTAGTTTGGTCAGCTGACATTTAAATGTCAAAACCTAGATACTGAGACAACAGCATGTGAATTCTACCTCATAATACAACAGTACTTTTGTTCAGCAATTAGGAAGAATGAAGAATGTTGTTCATGTATTGAGCAGCTGAATGACCAAGTGTCAAGGGACTCTTTAGCTTAGGCA